GCCCCGCCCGCGCCGTCGCCATCTTCCTGCGGGCCGCGCCTCCTCGGCCTCTCGCGTAAACAGTGCCACGCGTACAGCCCGGCTGCCCGGGGTCTCCTCCCGCAGTCGCTCCCCGCCCCCTACTTGTTCTGGACTTTTCCGGGCAAGAGAAAAGTTGTCAGTGGGTGTTGGCCGGTGCCTCTTGGGTCCGGGGAAACTGAGGCTCGGTGCAGAGCAGTGTAGGGTCGCTCTTCCTGACGGCTGCTCACGCGGGGGGGTGGGCGGCGTCTCTCCGACTGTCTCCAAGGGTCCAGCCCTGCTGCTAGGCTGAGTCCCCCCACCGCCTGTGGCTGGACAAAGAAGGCATGCAGAGGCCCTGCCCTGGACCCCCACTCCTCCACGGTCCCCACACTCCTGCCGCAAGTGAAACTCGTGGAACAAGTATAGGAGTTCCCTTCTTTGGGACAGTGGGCCCTGTTTAATGGGGTGGGAAAAGGGTCACGTAGTGGCTTCTCCCAGTGCCAGTAACACTCCTCTGGCTTTTCCCCAGGCTGCAGAACCCCCCGAGGGTGTGGTGCGCATCCCTGGGTGGGGACTGAGGACCCTCAGCTAGGGCTCCTGTGGGGTTCCACTCTCCTGGACGCCATGAGGACCACAGGACACTTGGCACTGTCCAGGGCCCACTTTGGGCCTGGACGATGTAACCAGGCTGGGAGCTGCTCTGTCGGGGGGCTTCTGGGCCCTTTGGCAGAGGGTGCAGCTCATTCCTGTGGCCTGCCGGTTCTTGGGAAACAGAAAGGCTGGCACAAGGACCCAACTCCTGTGACGTCCTGGCACCCTGGGCCTGGCAAGGAATTGGTTGTCTCCATCTGCACTGCCTTGGGCGTGCCTCTGAGTCCCAGCCTCTGGTCCCACATTGGGGACAGTTTGGGGAAGGACAGGCATGCCGAGGGAGCATCACGGCCTCAGGCCTCCTCATGGAGCTAGCCAGGCCCCTCTGCTGTTGGCTCTGGCTGTCTCAAGTGCCCTGCCACCCAGGGGAAACTCCGGTGTGACCTTGGACTCCCGTGGCACTGGGCACCCAAAGCTGACAAGCAGTCTCAGCTGAGGCTCCATGAGTGCCTGCTCCGTACTGAGTGTTGTGCGCATGTGTTGACAGTCACCCAGCCCCGTGAGGGGCTGTTACTGTAACCTCCATTTTAGGGCCGACGAAATGGGCTAAGAGGGGTTCGACTATTTGCCCGGACCACCCTCCAACCTCTGGGACTCCCGTTCCGAGGAGGGGTCCTGGCCGCCCACAGTCTGCCGGGGCGGAGACCTTGAGGGCACTGGCGAGGGATCGAGGGTCTCTGGGCTGGGGCGCACCTCCCTGCTACTTCTCTGGGCAGAGCCTGACTCCCCCAGTGCCTGAGGCACCCCAGGCTCACAGAGATGCCCTTTGAGGCTGCCCCGGCCCAGCCGGACCTCAGCCAGCCCAGACCAGGGGTGAAGGCAGACCAGGGTCCTGACCTGGCAGGACAGTCTCACACCTGTAAGGCTTCTCTGTCCCGCCAAGGGGAGGGTAGGGAGGGGCACAGCTGGGAACAAGGTGAGGGGAGGGTGGCAGACAGTGGGGCAACGTGCACAGGTCGAGGTGGCAGCCGAGGGGCCGCCAGTGCGCCAGCAACGGCTTTCGGAGGCAGCTGTCAGGTCACTGCTGTGGTCAGGTTCTGTGGGAGAGTGGGCAGAAGGTTGGCTGCCTCGAGGCGATGAGGTGAGGGGCCAACCAGGCAACTCCAGGCAATGCTGAGCGTAGCCCGGCCAGGCCATCCCACGTCCCCAGGCCACCGTGGGAAGAGTAGCTCACAGCAGGGCACTCCTGGGACCTGTGTCGGGACCATGAGGGCTCCGGGTCCTTTTCCACGCCCCGGCTCTCCCTCCAGGGTGGAGTCCAGATCAACTTGCAAGGGGCTGGCTGCATGGGCTCCTCTACATTGTAGTACACTGGCTGACCCCTGCATCCTTCGAGTGGGCAGACCTACAGACGCACACTGCCGGGCTGTGGTTCAGGCTGGGAAGGAGCTTGGTGGCAGTGCCCCCTCCTGGCCCTGGCCGAGGTTCCGAGGCTGTGTGCCCAGCTCACGTGACCAGCAGGCCCTTGAGGGCTCTGGAACCTCGGTCTGGAGGAAGTCCTGGGCTGCACGAGGAGGCCCAGGAGCGGCCACTCTGATGGGGAGAGGGTGGCCTCAGGCCCTAGTTGGCTGTAGTAGGGCCACAAACCATGGCAGGTGGCAGAGGCCAGCAGGACTGGTGTCTCCCAGTCCCGAGTCCCGGGAGTAGGAGAGAGTGAGGGCAGCAGACGGAGGTCAGCAGAAGCTCCCGGAAGGGGTGAGGGGCACAGGGCTTGGTCTGGGTACGCCCTGAGGGCGGTCTGGCCCTCCGCTCATGTGGGAAGCAGCCAGGGTGGCCTGGGAGCCCTGTCTGGCTCGAGAGGTCTCCACCTGGCTTGGGGGTGACCTGGAAATGGGAGCTCACCTACACTTCCTTGCTGCCCTGCAGGGCAAGTGCTGTGGAGCTGCCCGCTGCAGTGCTCAGGATGGCCCTGTCTGCTCGGGCCAGGTGAGCAGAGCCACAGCAGCGGGCAGGGCCTTGGCCGCCAGAGAGGCCGCGCTCGGGCCCAGAGTGGCCACTCGCTTCGGACCTGGAGGGAAGCAGAAGGGCCCGCTTTGGACTTTCTGCCACCCACCAGCCCAAGAAGCATCTGAGCCTTAGAGGCTCCCTTTTGGGCTGGTGCTTCATGGGCTGGCTCTGCTCCGTCCCTGGGTGTCCCCATGGGTGCGATGGGCTATGGTCGTGCAGGCGAGTGAGCCTGAGGGGGTGGGGAAGGTGCTCTGGCCGGCGATGTTGGGGCAGGACCGCCTCATGTCCTGAAGTCCTGGCCTCTGTGCTCACGTGCTGTCGCCTTCTGTGCCAGCCCCTGTGGCACAAGGGCACTGCTGGCCTCGGACAGCAGGGAGCGGGGGAGGCAGGTGGCCCAGTGCCCAGGCAGCCTCGGGGACACAGGGTGGACCAGCCCTATTATTGGCCACCGCGGCTCCTTGGGCCTTGCCTACCCCTTCTGGAAGGGGACCCAGACCCTCCTGCTGGCCAGGATCCCCACATACCTCACTTGGCAAGCTGGGTGGCCCTGGGCATTGCTGGATATGGCTGTACCTCTGTATCTCCTGCCCTCATCACTTGGTGCGAGGTCGGCAGCTGTGCACCTGCCCCAGCCCTCCCCATCCTGGACAGCCCTGGGGCCCAGGTCCTCCGCACCAGCCTGCAGACACCCGGGCCCCTCGGCGGGGCCCGCGTGCTGATGGTCAGGCGCTGGAGTGAGCTCTGTTTTTCTATCTCTCTAAACAGGTCTTCACACAATGAATTAGAAAAGCACAGGTAAGTGTCCCTTTGCCCCACCCCCAGTCCCCACACGAGCTGCCTGACATGTCCCACCCACTGTTCCGCTGAGGGGCTGTTGTAGCCAGACACCTCTCCCCTCCCCTTGTGTCCTGGGCATGGCTGACCGTGCTTCCAGGCTGTGCCCTCGTCTTGGAAAGGGCCAGTCCTGGAGGAAGAGGCCCGGCTCTGCTCCCAGGCCCTCTCATGCTGGGAGGCAGGGGTGGGGGCTCAGCCTGGAGTCCAGAGCCAGCTGTGGGTCAGGGACTTGGGACAGGGCCTCTTGCGTGGTGTGGCACTCAGGGCCAGCTCCCTGGAGGAGGAGGTCCACGTACTTCGGGGCACCTGAGCCTCCTTGGGGACGACATTTTAGCCCTTAGGATACTGACCTCTTGGCCTGGCCCCCCATGCCTTGCCTTCCAAGGAGCTGCTTGCTAGAGCCTCGTCTGGGGGCAGTGAGGAGGGTGGCCAGCCCCTGGCCGCGTGGGCCTAGAGGGGCGCTCTGGCCCAGGGCAGGATCCAGGGGAGCCTGCTTCGCGTTCACTCGCCGGCTGCAGGGCCAGCTCCACTCGGCCCTCCTGGGGGAGGGGACTTTGCAAGAAGCAGAAAGAGCAGCATGGTCACCAAGGAGTCTCCCTGCTCCAACCCCAGTCACCCCGGCTCCCGTACCTTTCACTGGTGGGCATCCCACCCCTGGTTGGCCCCGGCTGGCCTGCTCTGGGTGTGGGCCTCGCTCGGCCCACGGGGACTCTGTGACCGTGCACCAGCTCTGCGGTGGAGACGAGGCCCTGGCAAGCTCGGCCCCTGCGGCAGGCACCCTCGAGGCTCATCTCTCCAGGTGGTGGGAGCTGTGGGTGGGCATGGTGGCCCCACAGGCAGCAGCCCCAATGCCAGAACCAGGAACGGCCCCAAGGGACACCGGGTGGGAGCTTTCTCCTGACCTTTGCTCCCATCTGCGAAGTGGGCCTGTTCTTCCTTCCCTTCCGGGGTTGGGGTCGGGGGTCTGCATACAAGTTGAGCTTTCCTGGCCTGCTCTGGGGCAGCTTGGAGCTTGCCCAGGTCTCTGTGTGCTCCCCCGCACCTACCCCCACCGCAGCGCCAACTTCCGCTCCCCTGGGATCGGGCCTCTGCTGGGCGGGTGCTGGCTAGGGACAGAACGCTGTGTTCTCTAGAAGAGCCGCACTTCCTGGACTGGCCCTGTGTTTGGGGGTCTCCCGAGGCCATGGAGGTGGGGCAGGTGCAGGAGCCCAGAGAGCCAGGCGGCCACGTGGGGGAAGGCTCCCTAGGGGTGGTGCCTGGGGGAGCAGCCCCTCAAAAACAACAGACAGAGGGGATGGCGTTGGGGGAGAGTGGGTGGCAAGGGCATAGCAGCCCTTCGAAGGAGGACAAGGGCTGGCCTTTGACGGCTGCTCGTTGTCCCAGAACTTGGCCTCAGCCACCTTCTCCCAGAGCTTGCCCTTAGTCTGGGCCTCACAGGGCCCTTTGGGTGGATGGGCAGCCCGAGCTTCGGGAGGGTTCTACCCAGTGCAGGGGCCTCTGTTCCGGGCTGGCCACTCTGCCAGCGTGGACATCCCGAGGAGCCCACAGGCCTGGAGCTTGAGACCCTGGTGGGAACCTTGGTCATGGCTGTACCTGTGGCTGCCCAGTGCTGACGCCGGATGCTCTTGGCCTCTGGCCACAGGAAGGACTGTGTGCTGTCCCAAGGAAGGAAGGAAGCACCTGGCTGGGTCACCCGGCCAGTCCCCAGGGAGGGAGGCTCTAGACATCGTCTTCTCTGGAGGTGTGCCCACCTTGGGCCTGGGGGACTTGCTCTGAGGGCCGGATCTGCCCCAGGCCACCCAGCCCGGCCCTGTCCCCACCCCTCCCCCACAGACAGCAGCTCCAATGGGTCTGCTAAGGCCAGTTCTTGGCAACTGGCGCTGGGGATGTGGTGGTCATGGAAGCCACGTGGTCCTTGACAGACTGACCTCCCCCTTCTTGCCCAGCTCCAGGCTTGAGCTTTTATGTGTGCAGGAGATGGGGCCCTCAGTGCCCCCTGGAGTGGCAGGGCCCATCCCAAAGGCTGGCCCAAGGCCCTGGGTTAGACCCCCACCCTGGCACCGAGATGGCTGTCCAGGTCTGGTGGACCGCACCCGATGCAGCCACACGTGGCCTTTATAAACCTCACAGCAGGAAAATGCAGGTGAGCCGGAGAAAGGGGCTGCCCTGCCCCCGTCCCAACCCCAGTGTGCTTCCTAGTGACAGCCAGGCCAAGGGTGTTCAGAGCGTGGCCTGCCAGGAGACTGGGACCCTGCCCCTCAGGCACTGGGGTCCGGGCCCGGCCGCTCTGTGTCCTCCAAGAGCAGGGCTTGCAGTCCGGAGCTAGGGAGGGCCGGTGCCGCTGGCTGGGCTGTGGCCGGCCACGGGGGACGGGGCTATTAGCACTACTGCTGTGGTCCCCAAGGCAGCTTCTGCCTCCTCCATCCACACAGGGTTCCTGCAGGAAGTGGTGGGTTTCCAGAGCTCTCAGGAGTGCTGGGGACAGCCACAGGGCCCTGGTGGAGGGCCTGGGCACTGCCGCCACCTCGGGGGAGAGCTTCGTGAGAGCCCAGTGCAGCCCCGGTCTGTGGGGCCTCAGCACCCCTCCAGCCCAGGGAGGGCCTGGGCTTGTCCACTCCCCGCAGGGAGAGGACTCTGGGCCCAGGAGGGCGGGGACCTGCCCAGAGCGCCACAGCCAGCGCCCCCGGGGCTGGGCGAGCACGTGTCTGGTGTCAGGCATGGCGTGGGTGGAGTCTGGTGGCCTCTCTGTCTCTTGAGAAGTGTCTGCTTGATACAGTTTCTGAAGCAGACTGTTCACGTTCGTCACGGGTGCTCGTGGACCTCCCCTGTGCCCCCTGCTCCCCGAAACCATCCTGGGCAGCTGGGAGGCACCCTCCTCCACACGGGTTCTGACTCGGATAAGAGCGACCTGTTAGCCGCTTTTTCCTAACTTGACGTTTCACCGTGCACCACCTGAGCACTGTCCACCTGTGGCCTGGGCCATCCTCTGCCTCGTCCTGGCGCCCGCACGGGACACACGGCCGCACTGTGGGTTCTCAGCCTGGCTCTCTGGCTAACACTGATGGGCTGCAGTGAACATTGGAAACACAGGTCTTTGCGTGTCGGGGGGGTAGTTTCGTGGGACCCAAATCCAAGAAGTAGAAGTGCCGGTCATGGGTCTGAGTCGCTGCGATGGCCCTTCAGGACCGCCGTCCGCCGACAAAGCCCGAAGGGGCCCGAGCGCTGGCCGACCCGACAATCAGTCACTGCTTTTCATTTCCGCCGGGCTAGCATCTCCTCCGTGAGTTCTCGTTTCCTAAAAACGGCGAGGTGCAGTCCGTGTTGTGTTAGATCAGCCGTCTGTGTTCTGCAACCTGCCTGTTTGTGTCCTTTGCCGTTTTCACATCGAGATATTCCTCCTTTTATTTTTGATGTGTATGAACTCAAAGTGTCATGAATACTAACCGTTTGTCTTTTATGTGTATTGCAAATATTTTTTCACTGTTATTTGTCTCTTAGCTGTGTTTTTTCTTTCCTGTACAAACGTGTCTTTCTGATTGTAAAACTAATGTGTGGTTTTTTAGCATAGAAAACCTGGAAAATACCAAAAAAAAAAAGTACAAAGCCAAAGAAATAAACGTTGCCAACCGCCTCGCCCGGAGACGCATGCCTCCTGCCTTTCATTGTGTCCTGCTGCGTCTCTGTGTGCGTCTGCCGCTTTATTTTTTTGATCAGTGTTGGGTCACTTGTTGGGTACATAGGTAGTTCTGCGTGAGGGGTTTTCCACTGAACACTCATGATGAGAAAATGTAGAATATCCTGAAATGGTGACATCGTTGGTAGTCTCTGGGTGGTGGAATTTGGGGGTCCTTTTCTTTCTGCTGATTTGCATTCTCTAATTTCTCACAAAGACCACTGAGTGTGTAGTTAAACGGTAGATTGTCCCAGCTGCCTTTCGCTGTGGAACATGGGGACCAGGTGGCGGGCGGTGGCCCCATGGCGGAAGGGGCGGGTCTCTGATTAGCGAGCCCCTCCTGGAGCACAGCGCTCCACTTCTCCGCCCAGCAGCCCTGGCCCCATCCTCAGCGGGTCTGGCTCTCTTGGAGGTGAGGAGACCGAGGTTCCCAGACTGGGGGTCAGGGTCATGCAGCGGCGGCCTGCGACCTGGAGACGTGGGTTCCGGGCCCCGCCATTGTGTCCCTTTCCCCAGTCCTGTGTCCGTGTGGGGTACAGACGCACCTCTGAAGATCCTCCCTCCTCGAGGCAGAGCCCGGGGCCTGCTCCGCACGCCGGTGCCCGGGCCCCGTCTGTTCAGGACCCGGCTCCTCGCGGCTTCGTGGCCAAGCATGGCCTCTGTCTTGTGGCCTGGAAGGTCCTCCTGAGGTCCACCTTGGTTCACCGGGAGAGTTTACAGGATGTGGGCTGCCGGCAGGGAGATATTTCATCAGCAGGAGGGATGTGGGTGACAGACCAGGCCCCCAGGTGGCAACGAGGTCAACCCTCCTGCAGGGGGTTCCTTGCTGGGCTTCGGGCACCCCCTCGATGAGGTGGCCATCCCTGCCTGCTGTTCTCCCGGAGTCTCTAGGGCCGAGCGAGCCTGGGTTTGCTTGCAAACCTGGGAACGGAGATGAGAGGTGGGAGCGCCAGTGCGGGAGCCCCTGGGAGGGGCACGTGTGGCTCGGCCACGGCAGGGCAGGGCAGTCCTGCCCCTGTCCCCTCCTCGGACCTCGGCCCGCGCAGAGACAGCCTCAGTGGACCACAAGGGCTCGGGTGCCCTGCGGACGCTGGGTCGGGTGGATCCCATAGGGTGGCATCACGGTGGCCAGAGCATGCTTTGGGGGTGGGCTTTGGCTGCCCCCGTTTCTACCCTCCTGCCCTCCCAGGCGCATGAGCTAGGAAGGGCAACCTCTGTACAGGAAGGGCAGCCAGCCTGAGGCCCCTTACGTGAACAGACACCTCTGCGTCTCGTGGTTCCAGTTTTGTGGGACCACGTTAATCTGCATGGACTTGGGGACAAAGTCTGGAAAGAGGCGATTTTCAAAAGGTCACAGCTTTGGGGGGGGCAGTCCTTGGCCCTCCCTGACCTGGAGGGACTCGTGTGTCTGGGGTGACGCAAGTGGCTGTGAGCACCTTGCGCTTGGTAGGATGGGTCACGTAAATCTGGTCTGAGGCCCCGAGTCTCTGGGAGCAGCCTGGCAGTGCCCGGTAACTCCCCCACCTTCTCCAGGCTTCCCCCCCGTACCCCACGCTCTACTGGGGAGGGTGGTGACAGCAGGGTGAGCTGGGGCTCTTGGTCAGTGCTGGCTGGGCGCTCTAAGGCCCTCAGGGGCCTGGGGGGTTGGCTGGCCACACGGGCCCTGGCCATCGGGCTTCTTCAGCGGGCGCCAGGCTGCTCCAAGGGCCGGGGAGCTGCCAGCCAGGTGGGAGGGGGCCTCCAGACAGGGCCCCTCGGCAGGTCTGTGTGGGCTGCCAGCTGGCCGCCCTCCTGCTCCCACAGACCTCTGGCCCTCTCTGCTGTCCCCGCCCCTGTCCCGAGGGCTGGCCGCCTGGCCTGATGCTTCTGTCTCTGGCTCTTTCAGACGAGCCAGACTGAGGCTCTACCTGGAGCAGCTCAAGCAGCTGGTGCCCCTGGGCCCCGACAGCACCCGCCACACCACGCTGAGCCTCCTGAAGCGCGCCAAGACGCACATCAAGGTGAGTGGGCCGCCCGCTGCACTGCTCAAGCAGCGCGGCCCAATGTGTCCCGGGGAGTGACCAGAGAGCGGGAGAGGGCTGGGGAGCCGCCCAGCAGGCACACATCAGGGGCCTGGGGGCCT